AAGGACACATCCACCTGGAAGAGAACCAGAAAAGATGATCTACAATGATGATGATGACTTGTTGAGAAAATTAGCTTTTGCAATCCTGATTTTTACCTGGTTTTGAAAACTAGACCCAGGCACCAACAGAAGATATACAACTGTTTTAGATGCTTAGCAGACAATGCTAGTAACATTTTATCATTACTGAGCAGGCTTTGAATTTATTTGTCATAATGAATGTGTGTATTCTCAATGAAGCTCCTTACTTTGAACAACTATTGGGACACAAGTGGAACTTATATATACAATATCTCATTGAAGATACTGGGAAAATGGTCAGTTCCTTGTACTACTCCAGAAACTCTCTGATTCCACCTGCCATGTTCTATCTTTACAAGAGTTAGATTTTGACCAAAAAGTATTGCTGACTGTTATATTCCATACTAATAGGAATATATCCTCGAAAAACAAGGCAGATAAAATAAGTAAAGGTTTAATGTAAAAAAACAGTTCAATAAGAATAAAGGTAACAGTTATGCACAAGGTCATTGCAAGTCAATCCAGTAGTGAGTGCTACTATTGGAAGGTTGGTAGTTCTCATGTAAGTCTGAGTCGTACTTAACAGATCCCAGCTAGTATATTTAGCTACCCACCCACCAGGGTTGCATGTGGCACAAGGTTGGTTTAAAATGGGTTCTCCGAGCCCGTAGGCTCGGCCAAAAATATTCCCTTTTTGAACCTGCATAAACGGGTTCAGGGTCAGTCTACCTCCCCGAACAAGACTCTGCCTTTCGTCGGAGCCTCGTCCGGGTTCCTCTCTGCCCAGAGAGTCGACTGTTTAGGTGGAACAGATCCCAGCTAGACTCTGTAGTCCATTGACTTACAGATACTTATAGGTAGTTACTACATATAAAGTAGCCACCTGGGATGGAGCTGCTGAATCATCACTCCCCAGATTTGATAGAGTTCAAAAGCATTTACATAAAAAGTTCCTGATTCCACTTACTATATTCTATCTTTACAAAAGTCAGATCAAACCAAAAATGAAGCATTGCTGTCATACCTGGGTTGGAGCTACCAAATCCTCCCTCTCCTGACTTGACAGATGATATTTCTTTTGAGTAATCTATTAGACAGGATTATCAGCATACTGAATGGATTACATTTTGTGACTTTTACAAGACGCACTTTGGATTGATATTTTTAACCTTCTTAATTAGAATTGTGCCACAGAGATTTCTTCTTGGGTTAAGGCTTTTGTACCTTTTCAGAAATACCAAGTAAAACCTCAATCTTCTTGGTTCACACCTGCCTGTTCAGGTGTTATAGCCCACAGAATTCACTTTTTCCATCCATACCAGCATGATAGTTCCAGTTGCAACAGACACCTCTTGGTGCCTGGTCATAATAATTGTAAATGTGTCCTCAAAGTCTTTGCTGATAGAATGAGGCACCGTATAGCCTCTCGTGACCTGGAGGCTTTAGTTCTCGTGACCTGGAGGCTTTGTAATAGTGTGTCAAATAAGAGTAAGTCTTTTATTTCTCTTCTCTTCCCTCAATTTGAAGTATTAACATCTACTGCTGATAAAGCAGAATGTTTTGCTCATAAATTCTCTTCAAATTCTACTCTTGACTCATCTGGAGTATCTTTGCATGACTTTCCACTTAGAACTAGGTCTCTGTTGAGTGATATGCATATAACACCATCTATGTTTTCTGCTATCATCTCTAAATTGGATACACAGAAAGATTAAGAAATTAAATTGGCTCCTTCTAACTATTGGCCTATTACCCTTCTACCTCCTTTTTGACAAAGTATGAGGGGATCTAATCCACTCCGAATTGGTTATGCATCACATCTTGTGGTGTCTTCTTTCAGATAAGTAATATGGCTTTGCTTTGCTAGATCAACAGCTCATATATTAATGTTTATTGCTGAAAGAGTCTATTAAGCTTCAAGTATGATTGGTGAAGTTCGGGCTGTTGAGTTGGACATCTCAAAGGCATTTGACAGTGTGTGGCATGTCAGTTTTCTTCACAAGTTGAAAGGTTACGATATTTCTGGATGGATTTTAGAACTGATTCTTTCTTATCAAATCACAAAATCAGAGTTGCCTTGAATGGCCACTCTTCTAGATCTTTTTGCATAAATGCAGGTGTCTGCCAGGGCTCTATCCTTGGAACTATGTTGTTTCTAATTTTTATCACTGACCTTCCGGATGTCATCAGTTCATAACTTGGTATCTATACTGATGATACAACTATTTATTCTTGCCTTAATAGTAAGTCTGATCAGTTCGATATGGTCAAATTGGCAGCTGATCTCAAAAATGATCTTCAATCTGTGATTAACTGAGGCAAGAAATGTCTTGTTAATTTTGATGTTTCCAAAATTGAATTGCTCTTTTAATCATTTGAGAGACCCCATTTTGCCTTCCATCATTATTTCTGATGTTAACTTCCAGGAGAGTGTCACATTGCACCTTCTCAGTTTAACATTTTCCGATGACATGAAGTGCAAAGATTATACTGAATCAATTGCTAGGTCTGCTGCTAGGAAAGTTACTTCACTGTGTCATTCTTGACAATTTTTCTCACTAGAATCTATCTTACACATTTATAAGTCTACCATTCATTCATGCATTGAATATTGTTGCCACATTCAGTCTGGTGCTTCTGCTATATATTTAGAGATTCTTGATAAAATACAAAGAAGAATCTGCAAAGATATTGGTCCTGACCTGGCATCTTGGCTTCAGTCACTTTCCCACTGCCATAATATAGTTTCCCTGTGCCTGTTCTATAAATACTTTTCATGGTAATTTTTCTGGTACCAAGATTGTAAGAATTGAAACACATTACTAGATTGGCATCTAGGTCTCATCCTTTACAGTTGAAATAGCTAGATATGACCATAAGTTCTATGCTGAGAGTTTCTTCTCTTGCACTTCTTACTTGTGGGACTCTCTTCCAGCTTCTTGCTTTCCAGTCAACTTTGATTTTCCAAAATTTAAATATAATGTCAATAGTTATCTTCTGTCGTTCCTATTCTTTTATTGTTTTCACTTCTTAACAATGTTTTCTCCCATCTTCTCTCACACTCAGTAACACATTGCATCTTAGTGGCTTTATTGCCTTGCAAAAAAAGCAAACTCTACAGCACCTTTCCCACAAATGAAATGCCACAAGACTATTACTACCCTCTTGTTATTTCCATGGGAAATGTTCAAATGCACTGCCTTCCTTTCTTCCACCAGTTCAGAGTCTAATGACCAGGAGGGGACCTTTGTCATGTCCATAAAGAAATACATAAATAAAAAATTAATTATATTGTCATGATGTTGTGTTCATAAAAATAAATAAAAATTAATTATAATGTTAAAAATAATTATAATAAAATTATTATAACAATTATAATTATTATTAATTCACTCATTCTGAAGCAATGAGAATTGACTCCACTTTTCTCCTCTACACACACAAACACATGATATTCTCACTATCAGACAAGCAGTTCACACTGTCAGGTTGTCAACATGTGAGCCAACAAAAATTGCAGTTCCTTTTCCTTTTTCAGACCATAATAGTAACATTTATCTCTTAATACTCAACAAAAATTCAAGGTAAGAAATCCCCAGATACTTCCTGTATTTTTCCAACTATATTATCTAGACACTCATTACACATATCTATAAAAAAAGAGACACAAGAAAGACTGGATATACTTTACTTATTCTTTATCTTATCATTCTGTCAGATTCTGATCCATATTTGATCTACATTTGACTCTAAACTCACAATTTTACTGAGTATTATTGTCTCTCATTTCCCCAACACCACATAACAACCAGATAATAAATATTAAGCATTTTGTTGTTTGCACATCTTGATGTTTCTTGTTTTCATGAGTATTTTTGTATATATAAATGTTAGCAGGATTATAATGATTTACTCAGAATTATAATTCCCCTACAAGATATTTACAGCTAAGATCTGCCATGATATATCCTAAGGGTCAAATCATCTTCATTCCTCATTTTAATCCACAGGTAAGAAGGAGGTTTCACTCAGACAACTTTTCCCTAAGAACCAAGAGGAGGAGGCTTTCCCAATCACTACAATCTTAACGTATTCAATTCAAAGTCAACCATTATCTTTTTTTCAAGCATTTCATCCCAAGCAAGGCATGAGTGCAACTAGTATGCAAAGAGCTACAGAGAATGAAAGTAATGTAAAAGACTGGGTATAGCGGGGATTGAGGAAAGAAGAACGGAGACAGATAAAAAGAAGGCCAGGGATCAAGGCATCAGAAGATGTCATTTGACATTACATTTAAATTTTTGAAGATTATATTTATCAGGGAAGCAAGTAAGAGGAAGGGAGTTCCACAGTTGGGAAGTGCAAGAGAAGAAGCTGTTGGAGTAGAAGAGGTGGTTACATTTAACTGTTTTGACACTAAAAGGGTGGGACCGATGCCAACCTAGTAGCACACTCAAATTCATGCAGTCAGGGCACCAGTGAAAATGGCTCCTCAGAGCAAATGCCATAAAGATATTTATAGAAAAGACAGAGAGAAGATCTATCCTAAATATTTTCATAATCTACATTTACTTCCTCCTTTCATATCCATCTAATTTCATTCAGTTATGCTCTAAGCATGATTGGCTCTTGGGCTTCATATTGAGTGAGTGCTTAGTAAAAAAAACGAAGAAAGATAAAATAATGAACTGATTCAGATTGCTCGATAGATATAAATGATATATTTCCTGGGGTGTTTTTGATTATAAGAAAGAAAATGTGAGATAATTTTGCGCACTTTGAAAAATTATTGCTGTTGACTCATTTTTTTTGGCAAATGACCAAGATGATGTGGTCAGAACCAACTGTGTGGGATTGATTCAATAAAATATTGTAATATAATTGCCAAGCCTTTCCTTGTCTTCTTCAGGCAACACCTTTAAATAAACAAAAATGGCAATTGAGCTAACTTGGTCAGGAATATACAATTAATTGCCTCGATGATCTCTCCCCAGCCACCTGCAAACAAAAGTAATCTTTCTGCAGGGTCCCTCAGGCCTCATAAACAGCTCATAGCCATCATCACTACAAGCATTGTTTATCTGAGACAGTTCACTCTGTACAAGTAACATTTTGTTTTGTTAATGATTCATCAAATGGAAATGTTTTTTAATATATAGAAAAGTTGGAGTTTATATAGCGCATGAAGCTATGACTGTAGTACTGCATGTTACAGAATGCAGCACCCCCCCCAAATGAATAAAAGGATGTGATAATTTAATTCTCTTTGTCAGATCAATTGACATATGAGGAGGTGCTGAAAAATTTTGGGCCCAACCAAGAAAGAACTTCCACTTGTTCCAATTTTTTTTTTAATTGCTTCACCCCAAGCATGGCAGTAATGCCACTCAAATACAGGGTGTTACAGGGAGTGAAAGTGAAAGAGAAAGAGAGGACTGAGAATGTGAAGAATTAAGGAAAGGACAAAAAATGAACAGGATTCAAGAAGACAGAAGATAGCAATTGATATTACATTTAAATTTTTGAAGAGTTTAGTTATCGAGGAAGCAAGAAATCAAAAGGGAGTTCCACAGGTGGGAAGTGAGAGAAAAGAAACTGTTAGAGTAAAAGTAGCAGTTGCATCTAGCTAGTTGTTATACTGGAACACACCTATTCTATTGTTAATAAACTCTCCCACCTATAATAAGTAGGAGTAGTAGCAGTCACCAGGGAGCTCTGTGAGTTGGTCAGTCAGTCAATGTTGGACATTAAAGTATCAGCCACCACAACTAGATTGCTGCATCATTAACTATTATATCAAGTTCCTAACATTTTGTATGTCGAACCTTTTTAAGACCGACTTAGTGAAATACAAGCCTCCACTGTGAAAACTACTCTATAACACTAGTTCAACAGTAAAATGGTGAGACCTAGTTGCCAATCTAGTAGCATGCTTAAATTCATGCACTTGAGCCACTACAGAAAGAAGCTCATCAAAATAGTTGCCATGAAAATATTTGTAGAAAAGACAGATGAAGCTATGTCACATTGGTGAGAAAGTGAGTGAAGTCAAAATGCATGATCAGGATCAATTACATTACAGACCCTTCTTTGGATTTTGTCAAGAATCTCAAGAAAAATTGATTTTTAGTCATTTAGTATGATTTTGAGAAGCATATCAGACTAAGAACATTTCTGCACATACTTTTATGACTGAGAAGATCAAATATAAATTATGTGCAAAAGTTTTCAGGTTTTTTGCCTTTTCTTAATTTGTATTCAGTCTCTAGTTTTACTAAAAATAATGCTGGGAACTTTTTTAACTCATCTAATATAAGCCAGCACAATATTTCCTTTATCCTGGGAAACTGCTTTCAAACAAGATATACTTTATCACTAACCTATGACAAGCCAAGTATTCTCTTCTGTAATGGTTTCCTGTAGCTTAGTGGTAAAGCACTTCTGGCTTGAAAATGGTTTCCTAATATAAGGGAAATACAGTTTTGATTTATGTAAAGAAGCACATTCTCTTTAGTAGAACTCTCAAGCAAAAAGTCTAGTAGATATTAAATTTCATTGTTTTAAAATAAACAGGTATGTCAACTCAAACATGTATACCCAGTGAATATAATATTTATGTTTACAAGAAATATATATACATATATATCAGGTCATCCCATAAGTTCTGTCTGAATTTTGAATAAAGAAAACAAGTGATCAAATGTTACATTTAATTACAGATTCAATCAACAATGTATTTTCCCTGATTATCTATGACTTCCATCTATTAACAAGCTTCCTAATTCCATTACTGTAAAATTCTTTTGGCTTTGATTCGAAGAACTCACAAATCTCAGTTTTAACCTCTTCCTGTGTTACAAAAGCTGTTTCTTCCAAATGATTCTGTAAGCTACAAAACAAATGGTAGTCTGAAGGAGCAAGATCGGGAGAATAAGGTCGATGAGAAATTTTCTCCCAACCAAGTTCTTCGATCTTTTGTGACGTGATTCTTGCTGTGTGGGGTCGCACATTGTCCTGATGAAACATCACCTCTTTTCGATTCACTAGAGCAGGTCCTTTTTTTCCTTAAAGCTTGGTTCAAACTCTCTAATTGCTGACAGTATATTTGAGCATTAATTGTTGCATTAGGTGGTAAGAATTCAAAGTGGATTATTCCTTGGCAATCCCACCAGATTGAAAGAAGAACCTTTTGCCCATAAAGATCCCTTCTTGGCTGTGGCTGGGGTCCTTCCCCTTTACCAAGCCACTGTCTACGACGCTTAACATTTCGATAAAAGATCCATTTTTTGTCGCCAGTCACAAGTCTATCCAAAAAAGATGAAACAGGTTGGCTAGAATGGAGAGAAGAGCAGATGTCAATTCAGGATTTGAGGTTGTTTTCAGACAACTCATGAGGCACCCATTTTTCAAGTTTAGAAACTTTTCCAAATTGTTGAAGATGACGATGAACAGTTGTATGGTTTGAACTGAAAACCACTGCCAATTCCTCAACTGATAAAGCAGGATTTTCTTCAAAGGCTGCTTCAAGAAGCTTTTCATCAAACTCAACTGGACGTCCGGTTCGATCTTCATCTTCAAGGGTGAAATCTCCACCTCTGAATTTTGCAAACCATCTTCTGCAAGTTCTTTCATTCACACATTCCTCTCCATAAACTGAGTGAATGTTTCTAGCCACTTCGGCTGCTGAGTTTCCTTTCTTGAAATCATAAAGCATTATGTGCCTCAAATGATTCTTGGGTACTTCCATGTTAGCAGGGTTTTAATCAAATTTAATTTTATTGTTCTCTGAAATAAAATTTGATCGGTTTAAATGTATCTAAACATAAAAATAATGTTCAGCTCCATTATACATTATAAAATACTCTTTAAATTTTGTTCATTTTAACAAAAAGTTAAAGAACTTATGGGATGACCTGATATATATATATATATATATATATATATATATATATATATATATATATATATAAGGTCTCCTACATTGCGTGCAGGAGGTAATAAAATAGAGCTCAATGTATAATAACAGAGCTAAAATTTATATTAATACTAAATATACATTTTGTTCCTTACCATTTAGTACAACTCTGAGTTTCATGCACAAAGCAATTACTAGGCAGGAATTGAAAAGTGAAAAAGTTTTAAAATACATGCCTGATGATTGCCTCATGCATGAAACTCAGAGTTGTACCAAACAGACAGCAACAAAATATATATTTATTAGTAGTATATATATATATATATATATATATTTATATTTATTAGTAGTATATATATATATATATTAGTAGTATATATATATATATATATATAATACCTTTTTATTATTATATATATATATATATATATATATATATATATATATATGATGGACTCTTCCATTGATTTTGATGCATAAGGATCTGATAACTTCATTCAGTTATTATGTTCATGTCGTATGTGACACTTCAGTCTCACTAATCACCTGCATACAAGTCTACATATTGTGCAACAGTGAGTATCTCGGGACATAGCAACAGGAATATTTGCTAATGCTTTTGGCCATTGTCTTTCATCTTTTATCTGGTCAATACAAGTGATTTCAAAATTTCTGATATCACTCTGGTACAAATATCTCCAGTTATTTTCTATCCAGCATATATATAGCCACCGAAACCGTGATATCACTCCTGGTTGGCGGTTGATGAAGACAGGGTATTGCACGTGCTAACACACGTTGTATGTTAAAAAAAAAAAATATATATATATATATATATATATATATATATATGAATTGGAATCAAATCAAATACAGAAGATCAGAATCTGACAATGATAGGATAAACGTTTCAGATTTGTTCTTTATCCTATCATTCATATATATATATATATATATATATATATATATATATATATATATTTACTATATTTATGGAACAAGATAAATCATTCCTTACAACTTCTTGTGAAAATGATGCATGATATATATACTTGAGTACAGTGTGATTTTTTATGATCAGTTTTTATGCAAAAATTAAGGTATCACACTATACGCAGGTAATTTTTTTGAAGTGGTTAAAAATCATGCATTTTTGGTGACCAGTAAGACTATATACAGGTAATTTTTTTTGGAGCAGTTAAAATTCATGCATTCTCATGACTGTAACCTACCTGCTAAGACATAAACAAAAACAAATATACAGTATCTAAATCTTCATATCAGATATTTTATGGTAAGTACTTTTTCTCACCATATTGACAGCTTTGTACAAAAAAAGAATGAAGTCCATTTATTTATGTTCTAATGATGCTCCGTACTGTGATATTTGACTACAATAGTCCTACTAGCATTGCTCAGAAGCTGGGGTCATGTTATACATGAGCTATACAAAAAAATTAGGTTTTTCACAAAAAATTTAGTGGTCGCATTATACATGAAGTAAGCTTATGCATGAATATATACGGTAAACTAATTTTAGTGTGCAAATTCTTATTTGCATCCACACTGAATTAAAGCCCAGCACCACTTACTCAAAATAGTCTTGATCATGATAACTTGTGACTTTGTACTAGAACAATCATTAGATGGCTTCCAAACAATTTCATCTACCCAATTTCACTCACAAGGTTTGGGTTAACCCATGGTATGATTTTTCAGATAGTGTTTCACATTGGAACTGTTTTCCGAGGTTAATATTATCACAACGTCAAATCAATTTTGGTGAAAGTCAAACCAAGATGCTATGCTCAGAACACTAATATTTTAACCACTAAAAAGCCTTCAAAACCAACATGGTCTAAATATTTAGGTCTGTTGTATTCTCTGTCTATCTATCTATCTATCTATCTATATATTCATCAATCTCATTCTGTTTATTATTTAACTTAATCTATTCATATCTATCTATCTATCTATCTATCTATCTATCTATCTATCTATCTATCTCTATCTATCTCTGTCCGTTGAGTCATACAGAAAGAACAATGGTATTTTTAACATCTGCTGATTTCCTGTATAGTTGGTTTCAGTATTTATCACTCTTGTCATTTTATCTTATGATACAATATAGCAGTGTCACTGTTATTTAAATAATGGAATGTTCTGAGATATTTCTGATGCCAGGAGCTGAAAAATCTAATTCTGTCAAAAAACACAGTATTTTAATTGTAATTTGAATATATATATATATATATATATATATTAGAACAATAAAAGCAAACATATTAAAAAGTAATTCATAACAAAAAAGAAGAGTATCAAAAAATATATACTAACATAAATTGGTAATACCAAAATATATATATATATATATATTTGGTTAGATAGATGTGAGTTTGTGACCCTGGGTTTCAAACTCACATCTATCCAACCAAATATGTTAGCTCTATCTCTGATATTGAGTGCTTTCTAATAAGTACCACGCATATAATATATAAATATTTATATATATATATATTTATTTATATTTATATACACACACTTTTCACATATATATATATATATATATATATAAGAAAAAAGGAAAACTTATATCTATCTATAAAAGGCAGGATGTGTGTGTGTGTGTGTAACGAATGCACGGCCACAATTTTCAATGGATTTGCACCAAAATTTACATGCACATGCTCCAAGTTACTGGGAAGGCCAAGACTGATGTTGCATTTCCCAACTCCCATCGATAGTGGAAATTATCGATTTTTTCATGCTTCTATGGCAGTTTTCATGTAGTTTGCAGCCATTTTCTACTGGCCAGAGTGAGAGCCTATAGCTGGCTGCCACGAAAAGGCAGGAAGATTCTATTGGCCAGCGTGAGAGCCAACAGCTGACTGACACAAATGCTAACTAGCATGCAAAAAAATTGATAGCTGCATTTGTCACAAGTGGGAAAAATTTAAATCTGCATGGCACTTTACACCAATTGGCTCATTCGCTTGCTTAAACTCAATGTTGATTCTGATTCTGCAGAACTGGGTTGGGTGTGAAAAAGTATTTGTTGTTAACATTCTTTTTTCATTCAGTTTTTCCAGTTACGAGTCCTTTTTTAAAGCTGATCGTTTTGTGTTCATTTTGTTTAGTTCTTTTTTCGTAACAGATTTAATGTTTAGTATAGAGCTTAGAAAAAATTTGCAGTGTGAGATAGGCAAGAAGTAAGGCATGTAGCAACATCAGCACGGAAAAAGGCACTCCTTTAAAGGCAAGGAAGGGCAAAAATATTTTAAGTCAAGTGATAGCAATTGCTGTATGAGTCGTACGATTTTTGAATCAAGCACGGGCAATGCCGGGCCATGCTGCTAGTATATATATAAGAAAAAAGGAAAACTTATCTTAGCCAACACATTTTTCCTCTGATGGACATTATCAAGGCAAATGTAAGGATTTTATTTTGCAACAAGTATTTATAAACAAAAGTCAATTGTTAGTTTTTTAACATTTTTAAATGTAAAAGACAATTGTATACATTCATCATGTTAAATGAAATGGCTAAATAAATTATGGAGGATGCTAAGAGAAGTAATTTAATAAACAAAACTGAGTAAATGATGTTGTTGAATTTTTTTATGCAATTAATATTTAAATTATTTTAGTATGAAATAAATTTATGTATGGGCATACCTCACTCTACATCATTAATTGGTCACGACTTAGGTCAAAATAATCACACTATAAACTGCAAATAAGCACTCCCCATTGCATATTACAGTATTTATGATATGTATGTGCAGTATTCTGAATAAAATAATTTATCAGCGACATAGCCTTATGCTTAGCATTAGCAATGAAAGAACGGTCTGGCAATTTTTTCCAATATAATCCAGTTTTGTCAATGTTAAAAATCTGTTTAGGAAGAAACCCATTTTCTTCGATGATCTCAACCAATGCTTTAGAAAAATTGACTGCTGCTTGTTTGTCAGCTGATGCACTTTCATCTTGCTTCTTAATGATGATAACTTCTTCATTCTCTAAATCTCATAAACCTGCCTTGACTTGTTTTAAATTCTACATCTTTCTCATCTGGGTATTTTTTTTCAGGTCCTCAAACAAAGACAATGTTTTCGCTTGAATGATTTCTTGACTAACAGCAGCACGCTGATGATTCAACCTATCAATCCAAAGAGAAAGAAGTTGTTCCATCTCTTCAAAGATTTTTCTTCTTTTCTTATTGATAACAGTATTCTTCATCCCTGGCGCATCAGATTTGACATGTGCCAAAATCTTATACTTATTGTGAACAATTGTCAATACAGCTGTCTGACTCATTCCAAAAGATCAAACGATCAATATAACCTTTTCACCTTTTTCATGCCATTTTATCATAGCAAGTTTATAATCCAGCATTATAGCATGACGCTTGGCATTTGCACTAAGAATTTTCTTAGGAACCATTGGGGCAAAATATAAAGTCACAAATGAATGAGAATGAGAGAGTAAGTGATAAGCAGACATATACCATGTGTATGTCTAAACTAAACTGGATTTCAATTTTGTGGGAATCACAAGTGGCACTAACAATGACACCAAATGTTAGATATTGGGAACTACCATGGAAAATGCCAATATTGATGTTTTCATATTTCATTCTCAAGGATTTAAGATGATTATATTAACATTTACTGTAAATGTATGTATTTTAATATGATTTTATATACTTTTATTCTTATTTATTGTACAGTAACATGATTTTATGTGCTTTTAACACTTTTCTAGTCATATTATGATTTCAATATTTGTGGCGGACAGACGTAAAGTCGAATAAAATGACTTAAATTCGATTTTTATTTTTCCATGTATTTTTTTGACAAACGATGTATAATCGAGAATGACTTAACTAGAAATAACGTAACCTGAGGATTACCTGTATTATATATATTATATATATATATTATATATTACCTATATTATATATATTTTTTTTAAAAATAACAGGAGGTTAGGAATTTAACTGTTTTCTTTTAATTTTTTTTTCACCTTTTTATAGTCATCTATGTTGGCTTAAGATAGGAGTAAGTCTTTCTAACATTTGGCTCTACATTGCATAACTTAAGTGATTGGACGAGAAAAATAAATATTTATCAGATTAACTGAAAAGTCTAGATAAATTATGGAACATCATAAGTGACATAATTTAATGTCTAATAAACAAAAGTGAGTAAATGATGTTGTTGATTTTTTTATAATGTAATTAATATTTATATTATTCTAGTTTAGGATTAATTTATGTATTATATATTTTAAATAAAAGGTGTTTATGAATTTAGCCATATTCTTTTAATTTTTTATACATTTGCCTTGAGGATGAAATGTGTTGGCTAAGATAAGTTTTCCTTTTGTCTTTATTCATAATGTCCTTTTACAGATATATTTTTAAATTTATCTAAAATTTTACACACACACATATATATACACACTAGCTCGGTTGATAACAATTATGATGTTTAATAACAAACAGAGATATCTATCCAAATTCATGTATCCACTAAATATAACACTCATAATAATACAAAATAATGTCAAATTTTAAATATAAATTTATTAATTCCTTAGAAATTACTTTGTTTACATTATGAATACAAAGATAACATTAGTATATATGGGCTTCAAAATATTTTAATGAGAGATATGCTTTCATTCATATGGGTAATTGAACCTTTTTTTGCCATAGAAGTACTTCATGCACACCAAGATATTTGGTGGTTTCCCTATAAGAGGAAAGTAGGTTCAAAACCAGCTGAAGGGCATATTTTCTTTATTAAAAACTCTCTATAACCCAGTCTGGTAGACAAAAATTATACTTGATCACACCAGATGTTAAGCTCTTTCCCAGAAATTATACAGTCCATTCATCATAGTTACAGTATAAACCACAGATTATTGAAGAAAATCAAATTTGCCTGAGCAGGTGTAACAACAGGAAATTCTCTAGATATAAGATTGTCAGATATGAAAAACCAGCCATTATATATATATATATATGTAATTAGTAAAAGGTTTGTCACTTAGTTGATGTTACCTTCAGCATACTGACTCCAGAATTTTGTAAACGGCCCGTCCATCTACTCATAAGGGGGTATGAGCAATTGACTGCTTATACTTCACTTATTGCTATATATATATATATATATATATATATATATATATATATATATATATATATATATAGTTTTACATCATGGTATATTTATATATATATATAGTTTTACATCATGGTATATTTATGGTAAAACTGCTCAGTATCAGGGATAGAGTGAATGTAAATATAAAAGTGGACAATGAGATCAACATCTCACATAACCTGAAGATTGCATTCAAGTATGAAACAAACTGTTGTTACTCAGTGTTGATCTCATTGTTCACTTTTATATTCATTTAACACACACACACACACACACACACACACACACACACACACACACATATATATATGAATATGCATATGCATAATATTCAATATCGATACCAAGACTCAGAGTTTCATACAGCTGCTGCAATTTTCAGGTGTAAATACAAGATATATATATATATATATATATATATATATATATATATATATATATATATATATACAAACATTATCTATGAGTTCAAATGCCCCTTAAGGAACTGTGTTCCTGATCAAAACAAATTCATAAATAATTACATCAGTCACACGACTACATGCCTATACAGATGCCTTACGTTACACCTATCTGACCACAGCTCTATTAGAACCCATTTAAACACACACACAAACTTACCAGACTCCATTCAAAACATTCTAGTAGAAAATATAAACATTATAACCTCATCCACATGTAAAAAAAGATTATCAATGATGGAAGCCTTAATAATAAAAAAGAAAACGTCAACACTTAATGTGCTAACTGTGGTCGGAAAATAAAACATCTCTATAACACTAAAAACATACACACAATGTACACACTCTGTTAAACTGAAAAAATAAAATTATCCTTGATAATGGGTAAAAGTATAACTGAGAGCACTTGGAATAAAAGAACATTTCGACAGTTTCTACATACTCTGTGTCCCAAAATGAAAACACTTGTTCAAACTCAAAAAAATGAAATAAAAAGCTTAATTGTAGCACCTTGTCTGTCATTTGTAATGAAACATGCATATATATATATGTGTGTGTGTGTGTGTGTGCGTGTGTGTGTGTGTGTCATTTGCAGACAGTACTGTTCCGCTGTATCACAGCTCTTCAGTGTGACTAGACAACTGAATGCCTCAAGCCCGGATCAAAACTGAACCGATTTGGTGTCAGTAAAAAATGTAGTTTAAAAGTATACTATATTTATGGAAAAACTGCTCAATATCAGAGCTAGAACATATATAAGGAAACACTGAGGTCAACACCAAGTGCCAACACTCTATTAAATGCTTGAATGCAATCTTTAGACTATGTGTGCAATGTTTTGGCTCAACTATTTATATATTCTGGCCAATAGTACATCATGTCTAGCAAGGTCTGTTGTATTATGCTAAAGGAGAGATGGTTTCCATGAGGTAGCAGCTCTTGGGAAGAAGTTACCTGAATGAAACTTCCTTCTTACCAGTGGAGTACAAAGGGAATAAGGATGGTTCACCCCTGTCTGTGTATATGGCACGGTGGGTCTGAGCTGTAAATATCTGAATTAATGTATCTTGGAAATGTATCTTGTTAGAATATTTTTCAGGGAAAGAGTGATAGAGTAGCGAAAGGTTTGCTGCAATGCATCATTGGTGAAGGGATTGTAAGATGGAATATAGTTCATTGTCCACAAGGTCATGTAAACACATTTGAACTTTGTCAAGGTTGGAAAGAAAGAAATGAGCATATCTAATCCAGATATGGCAGTAATATTCCATAATAGATACCTGGTTATCTCATCCTGGCTAGCAAGCTAATCTAACAGATATTGCCTTTTGCAAGCTCTGAAGTTATAAGACATTTCAATTTATGCATCAAATCAGTATTATAAACTATTTATAGCTTGAAGCCCACAACATAACTATTAATTTGAGACTTCAGAATTCAAGACAAATGACTGTTGCTTGCTTACATCTGTCAAGAACTAACCAGGTTTCATCCAAACTGTACATGTAGATGTTCCTATCATTCAGAATATAAACCTACCTTCATATTTGTTATGGTGACCTACTTACATGGGAATGGACTCTCCCTCCTTCATAAACACCAACCTACAGAGGTAGTCAATACACAGTGTAACCTGACAATTTGGACAGACACTTCTATCTGCTGACTTATAACACTCTTACTTTGTATATATGTTCTGTTATTTCAATACACTTGTTCAACCTACCTTTTTCTTTCTGTGTTCTTTCTTTCTGGCCCCCAAACAGGCCACAACAATATTCCAATAAGTCTTTATATTATTTATTAATAAAATATGACTTCTGCTAATTTTTTTAGGCAATTCATTTCAAGCAAGGTGATAAAGCTACTAAGATGTAAGGAGCTACTGGGAGTGAAAGAAAATGAAAAAAAATTAGAATGAACCAGAAATCAAATCCTAAATAGGAAACAAGGAATAAACCTCAAAAAGACCAATTAGTGGCGTGAACCAGACTCTAGACTGTAGGAACTTCATAGTTACTCTATGGTTTTGACTTTTAGATATACCAAGATAAGCTAAGTACATATCAATACAAAAGCCACATATATAAAATATTTTTAAAAAGGCAAAAGTTCTACACTGGACCTACAGGTGTGATCATCTGGTAGGTAGCTACATTCCACTCATAGGTGTATCATATATAAAAAAGAAGGATGTAATTCTACTTGGCCCAACCCAATCTACATGGCATACCAACAGAAAATACCAAATTAATGTCTGGCTTTCTTGGACTCATAAGACCAGACTTTAACCAAATTTGGTTTCATGCTGGCCCAAAGTTTTAAATTTGGCAATGTGCAATCAGTAAGATATGAGGGTGTTCCATCTCCAGAACAATTAACCACCCACGCCACTTTTGCTTCCACCAGATTTTCATCTCTAAAGATGGGCCTTGTTAAGTTATTGGAGTAAGAAATGATGAAACTGACAATGGTCCAATATATTAAAGTTATATATATATATATATATATATATATATATATATACACACACAAATAGTAAGAATAAAAGCTAAAAGATTAAGATATAAAATAAAATGTGGGGCCAATGCCAAAGTTGACAGAGCCTAAACATAATATAATAATATTATTAATTCAATAATACTAAAACCTGCTACTCCGAGTTTCACATGATGACAATCATCAGGCAGAAATAATCTCTCTCTCTATATATTATTTCTGCCTGATGATTTTTATCACATAAAACTTTGAGTAGCAGATTTATTATTATTGAATTGATAATATTGTTATATATATATATATATATATATATACATACATACATGTG